AAAATTTATATAATAAAAATTCTATCCTTCTATAATAAAAATTATAGAAGGATACGATATTTCCTTGTAAATTAGAAAAAATGAGAGCTTACCATTTAAGAAAGGAAGATTAACATAATTGCCACTTTGCTAGATGAATGAAAACTCTATTTAAAAGTCCTGAGCAGATTCATGTTAACTACACTGGAATTAAAATATAAAGCAATCCATCCATCAATTAATAAATCAATCAGTCTCCCCCCAAAAAAAAGTCCTGAGCAGATTTAATAATCTCTCTTTGTTAAACAGGTGAATACTGAATCAAAAAAAAAAGCAAACAACAAATAAAAAACTACCCTCACCTAAGCAGAGGTTGAAATCTATTTCCTTTGGCTTCGTCCCCAGTGGGTGCAGTAGCTGCTGATCACATTAAAGAGTCATAACATCTTAAATGAGGAGAGCCTCAGATGTCATTTACCTCAACTTCATAGCATTCATCTCAATTTGAGGTTTTCAAAAATATATGTATTTTCGCACAGTCATGTACATTTATCTATTTGTTTAATATTTGTCTTCCTCAGTAGACACAAGGGCAGGGCCTGCAAATCCCCAGTGCCTGCTATACCATAAGCACACTGTAGGTGCTTACAGTATGCATGCAGTGCAGGATTGTTGATGGTTAAATCACAAGAGAAGCTAGTTATCTCTAGACTAACAGCAAAGATTTCTACCAGTACAGCTGACTAACCCTCACTAAGATGGTTGTGGCTACATGGGATGTCATTCTGCTGCTCCTCATGCTCACTGGGATAAAGAAGATTCCGGAACTCTCTCAGGCTCATCAGCTTCTTGCCCCTTGAAGACCTTTTTCACTCCTAACCCTTGCTGGACACAAGAAACTCTGAGGGTCCTGCTATTTTTTCTATGCCCTACTTTGGAAAGAGAGCACAGTTATTCTGCTCTCAGGCTTTTCTACCCATCTTGGAGTTCTGTTCCTACTCTCCTTTCTGGACCCAGCCTAGGGGACATGAAAGGTTTTCAAGGGCTCAGCAATATCTAACTTTCTTGCTTTACCTTTATCTGGTCCAGAGGGTCTTTTTCTCACCTGGAGGCAGGGAGGACACTCACCCACTGGCCAGGTATTCCTCCAGATCTTTTCTCGAGCCTTGGTCTCTCCTTTGGAATCAAAAGCCAGGGATTTGACTTATTCTCTAGTTTGTGAGATGTCCTCTTTTTCCTGAGGACATATGCTGCTGGTTCAACAGAAATTTGAGAAAAAACAACCCTCTGGTTAACATCTCAAAAATATAATCTGCCTTGTATACATCATGAGTGGCTGAATTTTAAGGGAATGAAATTAGCGATAGTTATCCCAGATTTCCAAAGTCACTCTCTGATGTTTATCAGTCTGCTACTGATTCTAGGAAGAAATAAGCATGCCACTTGGGAAAAAGAAAGTTTGTAAAATGAGTGAGTCTGCAGGGATGCCTGTTAGTTGTTTGTTGTTTTTTGTTTTTTGCCACTGTCGTAAAGTTTCTCCGAAACAGTTGAGGTTCTGATCAAATAAATATCTGTCATGTTATTTAGGAGTGGATGACAGGTTGAGAGTCACTGAGCCGGTGACAGGCTGTCCTTGATTTGGTAAGTTTTCATGCTGTCTTCAGCTGATATTGATCTCATATTAAGTGAAATGCAATGAGAGTTTCCTCTGTCATTTCAGTGACACAATTTTAGGTAAGGAAGGTAGAATGTCTCTGCGTCAGCTAGAGATGATTATATTAGATATCACCTGTCTTAATAGCCCTACCTTCGTCTGCTAAGCTGTGGGCAAATGAGATTTTTTGCTTTATCGTCAGGCTGCCAGACAGGACTCAGGTAACTATATGTAAAATCTCATGCTCTGTTGCAGAATAGTTGATGTTTATGAGGAGAAATAAGTATTTTTAAGATTTTTATAGCATTTGTTCCTTCACAGCAAGAGAATATTGCAAGTCTGTGCAAGGCTTTATATTGTCATGCTTAACCACTGTGACTTTTACAACTGCATGTTAGCTGGGCACAGTAAATTACTGGAAAAACACTATAAAGATGTCATTGAGCTTTGCCTGCTGCGTGGTAATCTTCAGAAGTTACAGAAAAACATAGCCACTGATGTCATTTCAAGCTCCTTTTACTACACTAACTGTCTGAGATGCCACTCTTAATAACATGAGGCCATTTTTAACCAAATTCTTGATGGAACAGTCTTCTTGTAGAAAATGTTACCAAGCAAGTATTTCTTTTTTTTTTTATTTTAAAGATTTTATTTATTGGTTTGACAGAGAGAGAGAGATAGTAAGAGAGGGAATACAAGCAGGGGAAGTGGGAGAGGGAGAAGCAAGCTTCCTGACGAGCAGGGAGCCCGATGCTGGGCTCGATCCCAGGACCCTGGGATCATAACCTGAGCCGAAGGCAGATGCTTAACGACTGAGCCACCCAGGCGCCCCACCAAGCAAGTATTTCTCTAGAATCCATTTCATGATCAATTAGGGGCCCGATTGGGTGTTCATTACCTAACAAAACCAACACGAAAGCCCCATCAGAGGAAGGGAATCAAATGTTCCAACTTTCTAAATTGCAGTCCTAGTTAAAGACTCCTGTAAATGGCAGGGTAGGGCCTGTGGGGCTCCTGGTGCAGGGCCATCCTCTCTAATGCAGCCAGGGCCTGCCGTGCTGGTCTTTTGGGGGTGGATGAGTTCATACTGGGAAGACCATGAAGAACATTTAAAATGAATAAAATGTTATAAAGGACTCAAGTTTTAGGAAAATTGATTTCCCGGTAAGGGCCATCTTGAAATAGAAGGTTCTCCTGATGAGATTTTGGAGAATGGACACTTAACATCAAGCGTTTATTGGTTAAGAAAAAATGCCAAATGTCATCCAACACCTGATAGGAATCAGGTAAAATAAGGACACTTTCTGAGTTTTCCTACATAGTGTCTCAGCTTCTAGGACAGATGGTCTAACCTAGAATTTTTATGAAATGTTTGCCACTGAGGAATGGGATGGGCAAAAACTACAGGATACAGTGCTAACTGTAATAGCTAAGCTTCTAGGCCTGAGTCTGAACAAAGAAACAGGCTCTATCTCTGGTATTGCCTCAGGAAATTTCTTCCACAGTGAAACAACTAGGGAAAAGTCTTATTTGAATCAATGAAAAGTTCATAGTATAATTACATTTTTAAGGATGATAGGAGCTCTCCTATCCAATGGGTAAACAGGGTAAACGATTTTTAAGTGAAATGACATAATGAAAACATTTTTATCAACTTAAAACATATCATTGTACATTGTTTCCCATTTTTTGATGCATAACCAACATCTAATGTTTTCTGATTAGAGGTCCCTTCATCTTTTTTGCATAAACTACATCCAATATATGTTGTTTTCCAGGTTTACATTCTTTAAAATGGAATGAAAATTTAGCAATCTGAATTCAAAATACTCAATTTTACATTTTTAACCCAACTTCTTAGCACTATCTTGTCAATTATAATCAGCATTTTTTTTTTTTTGCAACTTGTTACTATCAAGTTTTTTGGCAAACATTTAACTCAGTTTTCCTCGCAAAGATAACACTCATACTCATCCTTCATCAGTTTGTCAAATTGAAGTCACAAATTTACAGTAACAAGCACAACTGACATAATCAAGTTCGGGAATAAGCACAATGACTCGGGTAAGCACACATGTCGCCTGGAAGGGCAGAAGTTAATGGATGTGCCGGAGAGCACCTACTAGGCACAAGTGTTCCCTATGGCAAAGGCAACCATCAGCATCTGTTAGAAAGAACTGGAGAGCTCTGGTTCATCCATGTGTTGGTTGAAGGGCCTTTAATTAAGACTGTTTCTACTATAAATACATTTTCATTAATATGCATAGGTTGTAACTCTTAAAGAACATCTTTGCAAAATGTTTTCTAGTATGGGTTCTGCAGAACTTGCCTTAATGAATAGCTAACGTTCACTTATAATCAGCAGAATCTGTCTGCACACATAATTGGTGCTCTAAAGTGCTTTTCCTCAGCAATCTAGTTTACACTTGGTACTATAATTGGTTTGTTCATCAGACTATTTTTTCTCAGATGGGAAGAGATAGTGTTTTGGTCCACTCCTCATTGAGTTATCACAGTTTTAAAATTAATTTGGAGATTTAATGAGCTCTTTTTCCATTTATACATGCTTGAGATCCTAAATACCTATCAGTGTTTTTAGATTTTTTTCTTCTCCTACAGAAGGAGAAGAAAAAACTGCATGTAAAGTAGCTTCTCCTATTGCTCTGCTCCTACAGAGCAATAAAGTATGCTCTGCCAAGAGTAATTTAAAAAAGAAACTCAATAGATAATGGCCCTATTGATATTAAGTTGTTAGATTTGGAAAATTTTAGAACTGAAAGAAGCATGCTTGTACACACACCCACACAGAGGCAGAGAGACACAGAGTCAGAGAGAGAGAGAAGGACATAGGTAAAGAAAGACTGACACAGGCAGAGTTGATAGATTAATAAATACATATATAGAGACACACACACACACACAAAAACAGAAACAGATACCAAGACAGGAATAGAGAGAAATAGAAAAGCAGAGGAAAACAGATAAGGTGAGAGATAGAAAGAGACAGAGGCTCACAGAGAGACAGAAAGAGACAGATGGAAGCAGAGACACTATGTGAAAGACAAAGGGAAACCGAGACATCTACAGAGGCAGAGGAGGAGCCACCTCAGCAGCGTTGCTCGAGATTAGCTCAGGCTCTGCCCTGTTTGACCACATCTGTAGAGCTACGAGTATGTCAGTGGCCAGGATAGGCCAGCAGGCCCAGGGACCACGAGGAGACACAGTGTCATAACAGACAATACCAGACCCATGAGTAGGTCATGGCCTGGACATTAATCAGGTGGCCCTGAACTACTTGTTCATAGTTGTTATTTTTTAACTTTAAATGTATTTAAATTTTTATCTTTGTTTGTTTGTTTGCCTGCAGAAAGGTACTGAAGGAAATCTCTGTTGGAGATCTTAATCCAAATGAGACTGTGCAGGCCAATTTGGAGGCCCAGCTCCTTTCCAAGCTGGACCACCCGGCTATTGTCAAGTTCCATGCAAGCTTTGTGGAGCAAGATAATTTCTGCATTATCACAGAGTACTGTGAGGTGAGACTCTCCTCTTTTGGAATTCTCGGTAAAAATCTTTTTCACAGTATGTAGCTGTCTGTAAGGAGACATCTCATAAGTTCAGTGATCAAATCACAGGTTGGGGGGATGGGCTAAATAGATGATCGGGATTAAGGATGTTGTGATGAGCACCAGGTGTGTGAAAGTGTTGACTCACTATATCATACACCTGAAACTAATATTACACTGTATATTAACTAACTGGAATTTAAATAAAAACTTAAAAAACCCACAAGCTGAGCTATAAAGATGTGGGATATGGTGTCTTGCAGCTAGGAATGATGATCTCTGGGTAATTGACAAACTCACTTCCAGTGAAGAAGTAGTTGCTACGGGAGAGTGCTTCTTGGAGAGGGAGTAGTTTAGGAGAGGGTCACCCAAACCTTCTACAATGGTCCAATGCTTAGATGGACATTTAAATGCTGTAACAGGGGCCTGGACAGAGCAGAGGTCTATCTCTTGAGTTTTGGGTTCTAGGCCTGTTCCTCATTTTGCCCAATGGAAATTTGGAAATGGAAATATGGCTCATTTTCCTCATGGAAATCTTTCTTCATATTTATCAATTTGTGATTTATGGTTTCATGTATTTGCAATTTTCCCTGCCACTCCATGTTCTCTGCAAGTAATAGCTGTACATTTTACTGAGCTCCAACTGAGACTGAAACTGCTTGGAAAGGTACCTGAGGGGGAAGCTGACAAGGTGCAGCTGTACTATGAATCTGTATGTTTGTTCCTGAGAGGCTAGGTAGAGGGGAGTTAGAACGGCTGGGCCAGGCAGAGAGAACATGAAGATGACCTTGCTTAAAAAGTATCTCCCGGAACATTCTGGGAGCTAGTCTTAGCCAAATGCACCTTGGGGGAATTTGGTGCTTTTCATATTTTAGAGTGAATTTAGTCAGTTCATCACGTGTGTGTTGCTGGGGCCTGAAAAAAAGGATGCTGGAAACAAGGAAGATGCTCATTAGAATGGAAGGCAGCCCCGTTTGGTCAGAAACTTTGGACAACCAGAGGGTGCTGTGTGTTTGAGATACAGAAAAGAAGAGTCAGGAGAAGAAACTCGGAAGGAGTAGGGATAGCAACAAAAGGCAGCCTTGCCTGCTTGATACATTAGCTGGTGTATTAGCCAATATGAAGCTGAAAGCCCAGTTAAAATATCTGCAAGTTTGAGATACTCCAAGTCTCAGCTATTTCCCTGCAGGTCAGCCGCCTCAGCTCAGCATTGCCAGGTGTTTCCTTGTCCATTCCTCTGCTTGGAACAAAGTGAGGGGGAAAGAATGGGGGCAGGAGAACCCCTACATTTGGATGTCTACTTCTCCTTTAGCCAGTGGACTGTTAAGAAAAACAAAATGATGAGTTGTGTAGAACAGTGATAATGAACAGCTACTCTGGCATGTATGTCATGAATCTGTGCAAAACTATAGGTATTTCCATATGTAACTACAGTATGATCCATCTGCTATAATTTAATCATTTTTCTTCCTTTAGCCCTTCAGTTAATCAACTATTTTATTTGGGAGACAACTGACTCCTACTACTTATGACTATTACTGTTACATCTACTGCTGCTTTTGGCACATTGGATTTTCCAAAGATTCTTTCCTGGTCTTAACAGTATTTTTCACTGTGGTCAGTACTGTGCAATAGAGCTTTCTGTGATAATGGAAATGTTCTATATTTGTGTTGTCCAATACAGTAGTCACTAGTCCCACATGACTTTTCAGCACATGACAAAGTGTGGCTAGTGTGATCAAGGAGCTGGATGTTAAATTTTATTTAATTTTAATATATTTAAATTTAAATAACCCCGTATGGCTACTGGCTACCATATTGGACAGCTCCAGATGATAAGCTAGAACTTTCTTTCCCTGCCTTATTTTTAAAAAATTTTTAACTTTAATGTAATTTTAATCTACTAGAAAAGTTATAAGAATAACACAATGCACTGTTCATCCAGATTTGCCAGTTGTTATAATTTTCCCACATTTGCTTTATCATTCTATTTATTCATCTATCTATCTATATTTTTTCCTAAACCACTTGAGAGGGAGTTGCAGACACAATGGCTCTTTGTTCTAAATACTACTGTATTTTCTAAGGCAAGGACACTGTTTTATATAATCACAGTACAATGATCAAAATCAGAAAATTAACATTGAAACAATACTGGTGGGATGCCAGGGTGGCTCAGTCAGTTAAGCGTCTGCCTTCGGCTCAGGTCATGATCCCAGGGTCCTGGGATCCAGTCCCACATTGGGCTCCCTGCAGCAGGGACTCTGCTTCTCCCTCTCCCTCTGCCTGCCGCTCCCCCTGCTTGTGCTCTCTCTCTGACAAATAAATAAATAAAATCTTTTGTTTTTAAGGAAAAAACAATGCTGGTATTTAATCCAGTACATGTTAAAATGTGATCCCAGGCCAGCAGCATCACTATTACTTGGGCACTCCACCCCAGCCGTACTGAATCAGAAATTCTGGAGGTGGGGTCCGGCAATCTCTGTTTTGACAAGTCCACCAGGCAAGTCCAAAACACATCTAAGTTTGAGAACCACCCTTCCAATCCATAATCCATCTTCAAATGTAGCCCACTTGTCCCATTTATATCCTTAGAAAGGACATTTCTGTATGTTTCTTCTTGCACAGGATCCAGTCCAGGATCATCTGTGTTAATTTTTAAATTCTGGTGGTTTCCAAGGGCTGAGCTACTCTCTCAGAAGGGGCGTTGCCATGGTGACGACCGCAGGCAGGCCCGGGGAACCTCTGCGGGGCTTCCAGGGCTCCATGCTGCTGAGCTGTCAGCCTGTCACTTCCCCGACTCCCAAGGAATGACGTGTGCGGATCACTGGTTCTTGTTGTTAACAGAGATATTTCTCATCTTCAGACCCAAATTTGCTCTTAACTCGCACAAGCTTGGCATTACCCTCTTTTTATTGAGGTAAGATAATATTGGAAATAGCAGATGGCCAAACTTGCACCTCATAGGAAAATGCCCATCACCATTGAAATAGTTGGTCTTTTTATCTCCAAGTTTGCTCTTTTGTAATTTAATTTGGGGCCTTGCAAGATTGAAATATGTAAATGCATTCGTGAGGCTGCTACATCCATCACTCAACCCTTTGGGCACATCACATCAGATTATGAGTGTGAAAAGCAAATAACTGAACTCTCACAACTTCTTGTCAAGATCTAACTGAATCTTTGATGGGGAATAGTTCCAAAACTACCAAAGTGGGAGAGTATTTCAAATATTGGTGTCTTCTCTTCTCCCCCACCCCCACCCCCCAGGGTTAAATGGAACTACTTCTGTTTCCTGTCTATACTGCATAGTTTCACACTTCTTCATCTGTACTTGGACCATTCTGTTTCAGAATGTCCTTCTTCAAGTCCTAGTCATCCTCCCAGGCCCAGCAGAAATGCAGCTTCCTTTAGAAAGACTCCCATAATCTCCTGGCTGGAAATCTCTCCCCACCTGGTCCCCCTATTGCCACCCCATAGCATTTTATGTCTCTTGGCACTCAACACATTATACATACTAGAAACCCATCTCAAACTTTCAATGTGAGATCGATCTTTTTCTGATTCATTTTTGTATCACGTGGACCCACAAAGTGAGCCAGAAGGAAATTAGCACTCAGAAATTTCTTTTTTTTTTCTCACGAATTCTTTATCACTTGCTTCCAGCTGCCTCCCACCTCATTTCTGTCAAACACTAATGGTAAAAGATAAAACATTGGATCCTTCTACTTGTTATATATGTCAAAAGCATTTTGTCCTGCCTTATTTTGCTGGCTCCCTAACAATGTACTGCACTGGAGACCTGTGAGGTACTACCTGAAGTTTGTCCCTTTGGGTGAGGACAAGGCATCCCCAGAAACCTGGGCACTCACTTAGTAGATGCAGTAGAGGATAGGTGAGATCACATATCTTCAGTAGACAGAGAACATACGACTATCCACCAAAAGCAGGAAAGGGTGGACTTGTCTATTTTCTGCTTAGCAATATTGACATAACTAAACAAAAATTTATCAGTATAACAGTAGTGCTCAACCTTGGCTGTACATTAGAATCACCAGAAGATTTAAAAAATTACAAGACCATGGGCGCCTGGGTGGCTCAGTTGGTTAAGCGACTGCCTTCGGCTCAGGTCATGATCCTGGAGTCCCAGGATCGAGTCCCGCATCGGGCTCCCTGCTCGGCAGGGAGTCTGCTTCTCCCTCTGACCCTCTTCCCTCTCGTGCTCTCTGTCTCTCATTCTCTCTCTCTCAAATAAATAAATAAAATCTTTAAAAAAAAAAATTACAAGACCTGAGGCCCATCTCCAGAAAGTCTGATTTAATTGACCTGGATTTTTATCTAGACATCAGGAGTTTTGAATGCTCTCCGAGTGATTCGAATGTGTGGTCAAGGCTGCGAACTGCATAAAAAGGGGGATGGTTAGTGTACAAATAGAAAAATGGAGTCGTAAAGGAAAACTTTGTTAGTGTTTATGGAGCACTGAGCAAAGATGAGGCCCAAACCTGAGAACTGAGAAGTATGGCTCTGACAGTGGGTTAGGTTTTATGCTCAGGCAACTCGCTTGGTGCTATTATTCATGAAAATTGCCTGGCCTATTCTCCTTGCTCCATGTGCAACTTCTGAACACAATGCAGCTCTCTACTTAGGCCTCTTCTAAAAGGAAAAAAAATCTGCTGGCTAAACTGACAAGAGCTCCCTGTTGTCCTGGCAATTGTAGTTCTCAGTGCATGTGAATAAATTGGCATTCTAGGTTATTTATTGGTTCCTTAAGAATTTCAAGTTTACAAAGGCAGTAGTAATCATTGATCCCCAACTCTGTGTCCGATACAGTTCTAGAGAATGTGGGGCAACAGAGATAATACACTAGTATTTCTTTAATGAACCTGTCTGGTAGAATAAATGAACCATTTCTAACAATGGCAAAAATACAAGGGGCATGTGGTAAGGGTCAAGGGAACGGGGTGATTAAA